AAAGCAAAGAATAGGAAGAAGAAAAAATAGTGACCAAATCACGGAAGAAGAGACAAAAGAAATGTACATATAGGACAAAAAATTTCAAAGCGTCAGGAAAAGACAAGTTAGTATATGACACTGATAAAACCCAAAGAAGAAAAAATAAGTGAATATCTTTACCAATTTATATAGAAATTAATATACTTTTAACTGATATTGTTAAATCCCATTAAAAATAGTAAAACAAATGCTTTTAAATTGTACAATTAAAATATTGGCAAATATAATAAATGTATGACTTCAAAGTGCATCAGGAAGATTGATGATATATGTTATTTGGAACAAATTGTAGAAAAATGTTATAGAAATCCATGTGTATTATTTTTGGACAAAACTTCTTGAACAAGATAAAAGAGACAATATGATAAATGTTAAAAGAACTACAGATAAAAAAGTTTCAAAAACAGAGTCAACTTGAAAGTTTCAAGGATAAATAGCAGAAAGTTTACCACAGACCAAAGAGTAGAGTAGAGTATTATAAACAGCAGGCACATGTACGCATTAATGAACACACATCAGAAGAGTTCGAAGTTAAAAGAGGAGTGTGACAGGGGTGTGTATTGTCACCACTACTATTCATTGCATACTCTGAAGAAATTATGAAAAGAGCTCTTGAGGGACAAACAGCAGGAATCAAGGTCAATGGAACACCAATTAACAACATTAGATATGCGGACGATACTATCATAATAGCAGACAACCTCCAAGACCTCCAAAAACTAATGAACAAGATAGTTGAGCATGGAGAAGAATATGGATTATCAATAAACACCAAGAAAACCAAATTTATGAGGATATCAAAAACCCACAATAATGGTGAAACCCTGACAATTAACGGTAGTGCTTTAGAACAACCACTATCTTGGCACAATAATTAATCACACAAACGATTACTCCAAAGAAATAAAAGTTCGAATAGAGAAAGCACATACAAACTTCAATAAAATGAGAAAGGTACTTTGTGCAAGAGAACTAAAATTGGAATTGAGAGTTAGGCTGGCAAGGTGTTATATTTTCTCTACTCTGCTTTATGGGATGGAAGCATGGACACTTAACGCGTCGACTGCTAAAAAGTTGGAAGCATTTGAAATGTGGGTGTATAGAAGGATCCTGAAGATATCATGAAACAAGCATGTGACAAACAACGAAGTTATGAGAAGAATCAACAAAAGACTGGAAGTATTGGAAACCGCCAAGACACGAAAGCTGCAATACCTGGGGCACGTTATGCGTAATGAGAGATACAACCTACTTCAATTGATTATACAAGGGAAAATCCAAGGCAAGAGAAGTGTAGGAAGAAGAAGAATCGCATGGTTGCGTAACTTGAGGGAATGGTACGGATGCACATCAATTGAACTATTCAGAGCAGCAGCATCTAAGATCAGAATAGCCATGATGATTGCCAACCTCTGTCACGGAGATGGCACGTGAAGAAGAAGAAAGAGTAGAGCAAGGGAATCCTATCTCCCCAACACTGTTTAACATGGTACTTTTGTCCAAATACTAAGGAAAGCAAATAGGAATAAGAATAATATATGTATCAATAACACATTTAAAGCTACATATACAGATGATCTTTAGACATCTAAATACACATGATTTTCATCACCTCAAGAAGCTGTTAAAACCTTTCCATTCCATGTTTCTATGACAATAGCTTCGAGTGGAGAAAATGTTCAATAATTTGACAATGAACAAATTTTCTTCAAACTTGTATTTCTTTTCCACTTATCTGATTAAAAGTATATATCCAGCTATCTTATTATCTATTTATTGTTCACTGAAATTTGGCCAAATAAACATCTTTATAAAAATTTACCTGTTAGGAATTAGCGTATCCGGAGATATCTCCTTCTCGTGGCAATCAGGGCATTCGTGGTCTTCGCTCTCCAATAAAACCCCTCTTATACACTCGTCACAAAATGAATTACCACAACATGGTATCATAACAGCATCTGCCAACAGATCCGAGCATATGCTACACAACAAGTCCTCTGGAATCTCCATCTTAGGAGGCTGGACTGGCATAGGAACAGGTTTTTGATTGTAAGCTTGATGGTCGACGATTGGGACAGCGAACTGTCCATTTGGGGTCATCATGGCGCCTGGAACTTGAGGGCCTTCCACTGTTACCATAAAACTACGAGGGATCCCAGTGCTTTTCTTTATGTCTCCTTGATCCTGAAACAAGAGACAACAGGTTTAATAATTGTTAACTGAAATTTACCAGTAAAAGGTATGTAATCATTAGGCAAGGGGAAAACTCTGTGCATGATACATCATAAATACAGTGAGTAAACTTTATTTTAAAAATTATTATTTAAAAATAATAAGAAATTTTTGTATGCAAAAATAGATCTGTAATGTAAAACATAGGAAATAGACAGTCTTGTGCAAAAATCACTATCTATAATCTACATCCACTCCATATAAAATTTTCATTATTAATTTCAAGTAATATGGAAATCAGTTTTACCAACCAATCTGTTTTGTACTGTCTGTCTGTTTTGCACTGAAAGAACAAAGTGGCATAACTGATAAACTCTATTCAGAGCATATGAACCCATTCACTATATGGTGTGACTCCAGTAAAAGCATGATGGATTACCCAAAGAATGCCTAGATAACTAGACATGAACATATGCAATATATCAACTCTGATTCACATATAAAGACATTTGTTCATCTCTTGTATTGTTTTATTCGACTGTTTCTTCTTTTTGACTCACATCTTTTTAATTTCACAGTAGCCATTTTCATATGTTCAGTAGATGTTCATACAAAATACCCTTTATACTTTTTTAACCATTGCAGGTATTGTAGATCACATTATGTACTCATTTTAAACATATATTACAGAATTTGCTCTTTGTTTCAGGGTTGTCCAATTTCTGTGATCTAATTCACATAAAAAATTTGCTTTTTAATCTACCTTTCTTCTAGTCTTCACTTTGCAATTATCTTAGATAGGCTTATAAAAGGAAAGTGCAAATTTTGAGCACAATATATGTGGCATCCACATAATAGCTTTCAAAAATGACGACATTGTGTCAGTAAAGCTAAAATTGTCCTCAAAATTTGGCATATTCAACAAATGTTTTTCACATTTTGTAAGAAAATTTTTTTAAAAATGCAAAGAAGTAATATGATATCTGCCAACTAACAACTTACCTTATTTAAAAAAAGTAATATATATTTTTTAATATCTACAGATTTACAGTAAACAGAGTAATAGGGTAAGTAAAACCTGTAGCCTGCTAAAAATGCTGAAAGCTATGACGTTTTTAAAAGCTAAACTCTTTTTAAGCCTATTACTGTTATCTGTGCTTTATTTTTGGTATTTACTGTAAAGTACACAAATTTTATCAATATTTACAGTTATAGATATCTAATTTCTTTATTTAGTAATATGTTTCCACTGTTCTAATCCAGCTATAGATTTGGTATATATAATGAACTATAATAATTTGCAATATAAACAAGGCAGCTAATTTTAGCAGCTGTATTGGCTATATACAAAACAGTACGAAATAAATTAGATCTAAATGTTTTTAAACACCTGTTTATTAAATTCTTATACAATGTTTTCATTTGAAAGCCCACACATTTATTTCAACAGAAAATAAACAATAAAAATACACATAATTCTACATAAACTGGTATTTTACTAAAGAAATGTTGGAAGCAAATTCATTTAAAAGAACAATAGTAAATTGACTACAGATGTACAATCAGACTACAGATGCATGAATATTGTCCATAAAAGAAATGATAAATAAATAAAAGTTTGTGTTTACACAATTATTATAATCATATTACAATATATTTACATATTAATAGCCAAAACAAACTACTTTAAAAATAAATTTTAGTTAAAAGAAAAGCTCCACACATTTACTGGCTTCAAATTATGTATTTCCACAATATATTAAATCTTTAGTACAACTGCATTAATTAAAAATGTTTTAACACATTTAAAAACAGTTATAACAACTAAAAAAAAACTGAAATTAGAATAATACGACCAAATGTGACAATTGCCTAAATAAATATGTTAAAACCAGTAAAAGCACCTTTATATCCAACCAAAAAATTAGCATAAAAATGATTGGTTTTGAGGAACCCGAGGAAGGAAAGAAGGTTTCAGTGTTAAAATGAAGACAAATACATCACCACAAACCATATTTTATTTAAATAAAAACTGTTTTGACAATGATAAAACATTTTACAATGGAAATACATACCGTTCCCATGCCAAAAGTACAATCTTTAATCCAATGACCTCCCTGATGACACTTGTAGCATTTGTAGTTGGCTGGTACAGGACCTACTTGATTAGAACCACGGATTTTTGTGTAACTGGAAAAATATTAACAATCAACATTGTGTGTATCATGTATAAAAATGTATTAAATATGTTGTGAAAAAATAGCAAAAGGGAATAGCAAAAGGTCATTAATGACAAATTAATGAATACAGAATATGAAGAGCCATATAAAAAGAAAATTAACAAAATTTGGAATGATACATATCTGTGATCTACAATGAAAAGTTAAAGAACAAAAAAAAAAACCTTAAGTAAACACTTAGGATAAGATAATCTGATTGAAACAGAAGTATGGATAATAAAACATAAGATGAAAATATATTTACTGAATGACATTGTTAGAGGCTTTTCAAATAATACAGAAAAAACTAGAATTAGAAAATGTAGCTCTATGTGAGAGAATCTTGCACTCAAATGTTTTGTTGATTGTAACAGCTTACAAAAGGCACAGAATAGAGATGAACTCTTAGTTTATTTATATAATCTAAATAAGACTGTTGTGAATCACAAACAAAACAACAAATTGCAACTTACTTGCTGGGATCATAGTCTTGAGTGGATTGTGACATCATAGCCTTAATCTTGTCATCTTCTGGAGCATCCAAACTTGATAAATCAATTTCTTTGGCTATGGCCCACCTTCGTCCAATTTAGTAGGAGGTGTGTTATCACCTCCGTATCCTTCCCAAGATTTGTTCTTTTGGGGTATGATAGGAATTCTAGCGATGAGCAGAGAAGCATTTTTAGAAATTAAAGTGTTTTCGTCTTCATACACTGAATAGATAAAAATTATGATTATTAAGACGTTAGAGCACTTTAATATTAACACATACCTTCTTTAGTTTGCGCGTTAGTGACCTGTAAATCAAAATCAGTACTTTTTCCGATGCGTTTCTGTTGTATTATAGCATTCTTCAGATCTTTCACGGAAATATGTAGGCCATCAAATGTAACCGTATCATACTCTAGAGCTGATTTGAATTTGTAGTGTACAGACATGCTATTAAATAAAAAAACAAAACTACAAGAAACTATAATAAGCCAAGAACAAATCAATTACGTTTACATAAAAGTGCAAAATGGTTCTTATGCTCAACGGGAAAAGACAATTTGAAACTTTAAAATTACCTTTTTTAAACCGGTAATCCTAAATATATAAATAGTACTAAGTGTCTGTCACAATTTGAATGTTATTTTCACAATTTTCGACATATTTAAACTACTTTAATGAGAAAATACCGCACGAGAAAAAATAATATAAATGGCGTCGCCTCGCCATTCATTTCTGCCAACCTATTCCTGTCACTGTCAGACATTAAAATTTTAAAATGTCAATGATAAAATCCAATAATAAAGTATTTTCAACTATGAAAACATTCTTTTTTATTTATTTTTATAATTAAAAGATCGTGTATATGTTAAATTATTAACAAATATTAATTAAAATAGAATTATATAGTGTCTAATAATATATAACCAACTATACAAGCTATTGTAGTAAAAGTTGTCTAAATTTAGAACGTCTTTTGAACATTTTTGCACCTGTCCACAGCCACCTTTAAGGTGGCTGTGACCTGTCCTATTATTATGGTTATTTTTCACATTCATAACAACCTTTTCACGCACAATCACTTAAATCACCTGTCTCTGTCATTTATGTATATCTAATAATTTCAAAGATGTAATAATTCTTATATTATGGAAAGTTTAAAAATCTTATTAATAACCTTAATTAATATATTTCATTACATTTAAAGTTTGAACAAAAATTTTAATTACTAATTGCTTATAAATCATTTTACTTTTTATATACATAAAAAGTCTACTTTTGAAAAAGTGTATGTCTAGTTTGTCACTTAATGAGACAAAAACTCTTAAAAAAGAAACAGAAAAACGAATAAACGTTATACTTCAACTCAAACTTGACAGTATTGGGTGTATACACGTTTTTAAAAACCGATTTATTTTACTTCTTGAATTAAAATCCTTACCTTTCTGTGATACATTTTACAATTTTACCAAATAAAGACAGTTTTTACTAAGTTATTAGAATATTTTAACATGGCGACGTTTCAAATTCACGAAGATATTGAAAATATAGGTGCTAGGTCCAAAAAAATTATGGCTATGAAGCAGCCAATAAAGAAGGAAGTAGGAAATAACTACCAAAGGATTCCAGTCAAACAGTATTTTACTAAGAAATATGAAGAAAATAACGTGCAAAAGAAGAGTTTTTTTAATAATAGGATACCACTGCAAGCACCAAAGGCACAGAATATTTTGCTGGACATTTCTTTGGATGAAAATAAAGACGTAAGTGCGTTAGTAATTTGTTTGAATTTACGTATACTTCGCTTATGTTGTCATTATACTAATTTGCTTATTTTTTGGTATCACAGGAAGAAGATATCAATGGATCATTTTTACTCATTGAGAAGGAAAACAAGATAGAGACAGTGAAACAAGAGAAGGATCCTTTTCCTGTAAGTCTTTTACACAACAATGAGTATAGAGAGGTAAGTGACGTTGAATTTTTAATTTAAAAAAATTACATACAATATTTTAAAAATACCATGTGTCTCCATAGTCTGAAATATATTTTTGGACGATTCGTTATAGGTGTGATATATTTTGCCGCTATTGATATATACGGGAGTTAAATTACAATCGAAATAAAAATTTACTGTAGATCAAAAACGCTTTTGAAAATTTTGCAAACGTAAACAAAACGCTGTCTAACATTTCAACCAGTGGCGTGCTAGATTTAAGGGATATTTCATTTGATATTTAAATTTTCTGCGCATTTTTAAAAAAAAGTAATAGGTAATCTTTTATGGAGATAAAATAAACAATTGTGCGGAAATTTGATATTAAAAAAATGCTTGTAAATATTATGTTAATTTACAAATTATGATTTGTAGTGTTATTTGCTTGTAATAACGAGGTTAAAAATGATATTTGTTATTAATTAAATCGGTTATTTCGAGAAGGCCACAACTCCAGAAATGTTAATTTTACAGGAAACGAAAAAAAAAAACGTTTTATTTTGGTATTAATGAAGATATCTTTATCTTTTCGGAGTAAACTCTCAAAATGTGATGCATGACGAAGTTTCTTTAACAAATCCAACATAAAAAAGACATAGGTACACTGTAAAAAATAATTTAGTTTTTGGAGTTGTGGTCTTTTCCAAACAAACACTGATGATTTTGTGATTTATAATAGAAAACTCCAATATTATTAAGGAAAAAATTTATTAGGTGGCAAAAAACATGTTTTTTTAGTAATCTTCCTCTGGTGGTTCATCACTATTAGTGGTAGGCCATAAAATCAGCTCATTATAAAAAAACATTTTGTCTTCTAACACATATTGTACAAGTTTCTTGACGTTGTTCATTTTTTTTCGAATTAATAGGGATTTTTTCTGTGTAAGCAAACTCTGTTGGAAAACTAGGACAAACTCCAGCTGGTTTCCCCAAAGAAAATTCAGGAAACATAAGCCCATCGATAAATGGACGTACTTTAACAATTCCCGGTTTTTTATTGTCATATTCGAACTCATTATATTGAGAAATTTGAAAAGTTGTTTTTTCATGTTTGGTTTTTTCCCATAGGAGTCAATGGAGAGTACGGTTTTGTTATAATGCATGTGCCACCATTTTTTGAATTCCAAAATTGTTCCATTTTTTACCAGTTCTATAGAAAAAAGAGATTTTCTTGACGGTTTTTTTTATCAATTCGTAATATTCTTCAGGAAGAAAAATTCGGTCCTGCTTGCGAATGAGTCTTTTGACTACCCCAAAGTCTCTATCGCACGAGAGGAATGAGTGGCATCCGATTGGAAAATAATAAAAAATGTGATTGAATTTTCCTGACGAAGCAAGAGCAAGATGGAATTTTATTACCGTGTGGTTCTTATTTTGGCCTGCACAACCATCTGAAAATATACGGACCTCTTTTACATTTTCAGAAACCTCATTTTCAAAATAATTTTTCAGGAAGGTGCACACTTCATTGGGTCCTTTGTGGGCCTCGCCCTCGCGATAGGAAAAAAAAATTAGTTTCTCCTGTTTTTAAGCTGGTATACTGAATTAAAAAAACCCGTAACTGTCGATATTAAAAAAAATCCTGTACAGGTATGTCAGGTATCGGTAAATTTTGCATATAATCCATGAAGAATCTTAGTATCTCTCCCGTCTCTGAAGAAAGTTTTTTAATTAGCTCTAGTTTTTTATAAAATTTCTTAGCCCTATTTTTGTGAACTAATAGTTTTGCAACAGCAACTCGTTTTGCAATGTCTTTGAGAGTGGTAATTTTAACTTTCTGGCTAAGTTCTTCACAAGCAAAACATACATCAACTTGAGGACGACCAAAAGAGTATGTAAAATTTTCATGAAAATACTTCAAATAAAAACTGTATTTCACTTTAGATTCCGGAAATTTTTCGATCAACATTTTATGCATTTGTTTGATATCCAAAGTAGCAGGCAAATACTTTTTTACTATATTAGCATAATGGACTTCCGTTACATCAAACGATTGTATGTGCTCACGTATTTGAAAGTATAATTCATCTGGTATCTCTATTATCTCTTGGAGTGGATCCAGTCACTAGTAGGTGGCATGATCTTCTGACATGCTTTTCGCCAACACCATATAAACTTAAGAAAGCTTTCTTACATACTTGCTTACGTACTCATTAAAAAAAAACATGAAACAAAAAATGATCGGGTCTCTCAATACGTTTAATGGCATTCTGAGATTTTCTCATTCTCTTGAGTGAGTCTTGCCTTTGATGAGTCTTGTTAGTTTTTGTCATCAAAGTCATGTAACGACGTAACCCAGACAGCACAAGTACGTCCCATGGACGTCCGAAGGATGTACCTCATTAAATGTTCGGAAATCCAACGGACATCCGTTTACATAATTTGGACGTCCCCGGGACGTCCAATAAGACCTAAATGTTACCAAAAAGTACGTCCCCCTGGACGTTCATGGGGACGTACATAGTACATATACAGAACTTAATACGGACTTATATAGGACCTAAGAAGGATGTATTGGGGACATCCATTAGTCCATGGGACATCGACTAATAAAGGACCTAAATGAGGATGTATACAGGGTCTAAAGGAAACTTACAAAAAACTAATAAAATGAAAAGCAAAAATAAATGGGATTTTTATTTATTTTTAAGTACATTACTCATACTTACTTTACAAATGTATCAACTCACACCACAACCACAAAAATTACCTATAAAATTCCTATATACCTACTTAATGACTATAATACATAGATAAGAGGGTTAGGTTAGGTTAGGTTACTATAATAATAAATTACCAAAGTATAAGCTAGTATCGAAAGCAATAAACTACTTCTAATTACAACCACAACCACAATGATTATAATTCAAGAAATAAAATATTCCGAAAATGCTAGCTAAAAATAAAAATGCGTTCAAAAGAAATATAAATACAAGGAGATAAATAGAAGCGTCGTTAAAACATAACCACATTCTTCTTTCATCTTCTAATTTTTAAATTTCAGTTCCACTGCAGAACAAAATTTTAGAGATACAGCTCTGCTATAGGATAAAGATTTTTCTCTAAAAGGAGCCTCTGTCTGTTTTCGTATAAATTAATAATATTTAAAACTAAATATAACTTTAAAATAAAGTTTAGTAGGAAGATATTATATTTTGTAAAAAATATGCTTGAGTAAAAAAATGACACAGTTAACATATAGAATACATCCCTAATGGGACGTCCCTCGGACGTCCAAAAGAAGTACCGGGACGTTTGGACCTTAAAATAGCATAAAATGGACGTCCCAGGGATGTCTTGTGCTGTCTGGGAAACAACGTATTCTTGTGATAAGACCCCAACAACTATAGAGGTATAAATCTACGGAACACCGCACTTAAGCTTACCACAAATTTCAGATCCGGAAAATCCTGCGTAGACGCCGTATTTGTACTAAGACAAATCACAGAAAAG